GTCTGTTGGTGGCGTCAAGGGCGTCAAGAGCCAGGCTCGCCGGTACTTGGTATCTGTCGATCAGGGCCACGTCCTTCTTCCTGAGCACCGACCGAGCCGCCCTCCTCCCCTCCTTCTCTGACTCGGTGCTGTGTGTCCGCAGGTCGGCCCACGTCGGACGCCAACACCTATGCCTACGCCAAGAGCTTCCGGCAGCTCACCAGGGAGGCGCTGCCCCGCCTGGACAACTACCGCAACATCATGTCCATCCAGGCCGCTTACAGGCCCACCCTGGACGAGCTGCACAACGCCACCCTCACGGCCAAACAGGTAGGTTGGGGCCCGCTGGGCCCGCCCAAGGGGCCCGCGTCCTCGCCCTCCAGATTGGCGTGTCTCCTCGGTCACCGGCTCAATTCATTATGGACGCCATTATTGGCAGCTGTTTTCCTGGAAAAGGACGGTGGTGGTCGTGAGACACGACGAAAAAGGACAAATAAAAAAATCCAGCTCAGCCAGCCTCAGAGCAGCTCCACGAACGCCACGCGAAACGTGTTGGTCAGAGGGCTTGGAGTGTTTTTTGTTATCACTTCCCTCCCTACGCCACGTCGCCGCATGTTTCATTTAGATGGCCCAAGGAGGTTTTTTGACAAAGAATAAATTATCTAGAGTGCCACTTTCATTTCACACACATTCACACGGTGCGTGGCCACCGCTTTCTCCCGCGACTTTTATCGCTCTTTGTTTGGCGGCCAATAATCGATATATTGGCAACAGATGTTGGCACCGAACACATAGTTACGTGACACCCATTTGTGGCCCTCCCCTCCACGTAGAGTGTGACTGCTGCTTTCCTGGAGTTGCGGTCGACGTTGTAGTATAGTCAGACCAGCCTAAGGTCGCGACTGAGCACGCACAGGCAGCATAGGGATTCCAACGGCACCCAATCGCGACCTTAGTCTGGTCGGTCTCTACTTAGTCCTCCGCCGGCCTCCGGCACGCCCGGGTCCGGGTAGTACTCGTCCTCGATGGCGGGGCGCGGAGGGGAGGGGCAGGGCGGGCGGAGGCGTCCTGGTCCGGGACTTATTGCCGCC